TCTAATTTACGGTTCATTAAAATACTTTTTATCAGTGTTCTAAAAGGCCCGCCTAGACGTGAGGCTAGGCCAAAACGCCAAGCCTAATGGGTTAGCGTCTTATTTGGCGGTGAACGACAGTTGTTGACCGCTGGGCGAGCTTTTTCTTTTTTTTTTAAGTTAAAAATTATTAAATGCTAAGTCCTTCAATTTGCCCTAATTTAAAATTAAAACAACCATTTGACCCCAAAAGTCAAGTGACCAACCAATTTTATTTACGGTAGATAATTTCTAAAGACACTCGAGTTATTAAAAGAAAAATAGTTGTTTAAATTTGAAACTTAAATTTTTGTTGGAAACTTTGAAAAAATGTATAAATTTCTTATAAATCTGTTTTAAATATTTAGTAAGTATTATTTTTAATTGATTAAAAATTAAAATAAGAAAACACATTTTTATGCTTTTTTACGCATATATCTCGTCTAAACTCGTCTAACCCTGGACTTGACCTACACGCATCATCGCGCATTACGCCTTCTAAAACAATGTCTAAATTAGTGCCCGAAATCAGTGTGTAGCATTACTAGGCCAAAGATGCGGTTTTGGACTCAAATAAGGCTTGCATACGACGTCGTGTAGCAAGCGGTTGCCTTCCTCAGATCTAATGGTCCAAAAAAAGCGCCAAACCATGAATGATAATTGATGCCCAGCCCTACTTTCTTTACCCCTCTCAACAATTATCGTAGGGTATCTTATCGATAGAGATCTTTATCTTTCATTTACTTGTTGAGGGTACCCATGTCTTCGATTCTAGAAAATAATTGAAATAAAGAAACTATGGAGAATCACCCTGTATCAAGCAAAGCCGTAGATTACCCTTTTTTCACTGAGGCCCATACTAGTATCTTCTATGCAGGTTCTAAATCTCGCGGCCCAATCTTTTTCTGAATAGGTAGAAATACATGTTTCTTTGATTAGCTGTTCATGAATTCTGCGTATATATGGAAATTTGTTGTTTTTCAGTTAGTTCTGATTCCGATTGGGTTAATTCAAGGCTTGTCTTCTTCTTCTTTTTTTTTTCTAAGCTGTGGATGTAATTGAGTGATTTGTGTGGTTTATTGAAGTGGGTTTTTCGAGATTTTTTTAGTGTTGTTGCACGTTATGGGTGATGATAATTTGATGGATGAGAATCTGATGGATCTTGATTTGAACCAAGAACCTTTGGACCCAGTTGTGAGAATTGGATCTTTTCTGAATGAGTTGGGAACTCCCCATGGTAGTATAGAGGAGAGGATTCGACAGCTTGAGGCTGTCACTGCACGCACTAGGCAGCGCCAGAGGTGGCGTCAAGCACGAAATTCTAGGGGAATCAGTCCGTTTTCTGGCCAGCGGACAGTTAACGTGGATGGGGAGATAGGTGGTCTTGATGGAGTAGATAGTGTTAATGTCTTAGAAAGGACTGGTGAGAGGGAAAGAGGTTGTAAAAGGGATAGTTCCCATTTGGTGGCAAAGGCGTTGGCAATGGATTCTGAGGTCAAGAAGGTTGATAGAGATGGTGGGAGCTTGTTTGGTTGTAATATATGCCTGGACACAGCGAGGGAGCCTGTCTTGACTTGTTGTGGGCACTTGTTTTGTTGGGCATGCTTTTATCAGGTGTCGTATATTGACTCAACTTCCAAAGAATGTCCGGTTTGTAAGGGAGAGGTATCTGATAGTACTGTCATTCCTATTTATGGCAATGGAAACAATGATGGCATGTTGGAGTTGGAGTTGGAGTCTGGTTTGAAGATACCTCCAAGGCCAAAAGCGCGTAGAGTTGAGAGTGTTAGGCAGCAGAACATAACTCGTACGGTGTCTCAGATTCCAGTTGCAGAAGCGCTTAGGCGAATTAGGATTAGCATTGGTTCAATGGGGGATCAAACACGGGAACTGGGTGGTGTTGGTAATTTGAGTTTTCAGTCTGATACTTTGGAGATGCAAAATGCAGAGATTGCAGTCAGTCAACGCCTGAGGAACCAACAACACTCACAAGTGTTATCAGAAAGAGCTTCTTTGAGTAATGTGGATCGGTTAGTTGGAGATGTTGAAACTCTTCTTGGAAACAGGCTTTCGCGACTCGACAATCAGCTTTTATCTTTCAATGGTAGAAATTTTGCTTCTATACAGTCAGACCGCCAGCCTTCAGATTCCAGAGGAGAGATCAATATGGTTTTGCCCATTCCCGTGTCTCCTCAAATGGGTGACATCCCTGGTGATGTTATAGATACCCTATCGACGATGACTGATAGTAGGAATAGCCTGGCTGCGTCCCCTACTTCTGCATATCTCCGAAGACGAAGGATCGCTTCAAGGCTTTACGATGTAGATGATCGGGATTCCCGTGAATCAAGAAGGAGAAGATTGAGCTGAATGATATCTAAATGAAGAAATATGGTAAATTTGGATTTCTTGTATGGAACAAGAATTTTAACAACAGATCTGAAATTGGTTTGTTATTTGTTGCATATATACTAACTTGGCCAGCATTTATAAAATTGGTGTTGGTGATTAGGTTTGTTTGACTTGGCATACTTCTTCAGGAAGGAAGATGGTCATTGATGACAGGCAACAAGCTATCCCACCACTGTCTCCCCGTCAGCTACCGCACCCGACCAGCCAAATTTCATGTATTGTCTGGTTTCTCGTATTTCTTTCCATTCCCAGATTATGAATGTATGAGTAGAAAAAAGTATGTTCTTTATTCAGACACTATTTGGTGGAAATTAAAATCAGATTTTTAGTAGATTTTGATAAAAGTTGTTGAAATGTGTGATTGAAAAGCTATGATCCCATGAAAAATAAGTGGTTAAATTTAACTGTTGACTTTGACTTAGATTAAAACCTGATTTTAATCCTACCAAACACGGGCTTAATCTGCAACATGAGATGCCAATCTCCTTTTGGATCTTATATGGATTATAATTATTGACAAAAGAAAGTCTTCTGCTGGGACAGGGTGTATGGAGTCATGGGTAGGGGTAGGGGCAGGGGCGTTGCACAGGTGGGGTGTGGGTAGGGTGGGGAAGAAGTTGAGCTTTTCTTTGTTCTAGTTTTATTTTTTGTTTCAATTGAAAAGGATTCACTGATTATACCTCTTGAACAGTATGTCGTGTATGCAACAACGGCCTTTTGACAGATTTTTGTGCAGAGTAGTCTATGGGGTCACATTGCGTAGTGACTTGAATTTTAGGGACCCATTCCCTTATCTTCCAATAGAACGGATTGTAGGTGTAATTATCTCCGGAATTTAAGCTAGTAATGGCTTAGGCACTGATTATTTCATGCATGGCATATTTATTTAGGTCTACATACAAGATTTCATATTCAGATGACGTGCCTTTTTCTTCTTCTTGCCCATCATCTTCTGCTTTTTGGTTCTGTTAGCGTTGTTCATTTGCCATTATTTTGAAAATAGGGTTGCAGGGTATATATTTTCTCAATTCCTTGGCATTTGCTAATTCCTTCCTCTTTAGTTTCTGAAATTATCCAGTGACATTACTGGCTCTGTAATCACAAATTAACTCTGCAGGTTGAATCTTATCTTTTTCCTTTGTATTATTTCTGCTTCTTCTTCTTCTTCTTTTTTTTTTTTTGTTTGATCTTCTCTATCTTCTTTGTGCTACCACTGCCATTTTCTTCCATTATCAGTTTAATTTTTTTTTTATCAATCTTTTGACTTTTTTAAATATCATTTTCTATGGCCTACGCATTAGTTATAGCGACTTATGTACATTGGATGCCTTCTATGGTTTCTTAGTGCAAAGAGTGTGGCAAAGGAAATTGATTATTCATAGCAATGTACCGTGACGAAAAACAATTCATGTACTCGACCCCAAATTTATCGAGAACAGGGTTTTCATTTTGTTGTCGTTTGGAAATGGATTCATGAGGCCGATTCCAAATTTACATTTTGTTGTACCCAAAAGGTACGATGACTATATGCGTTTTTCCATCGTCTCTGTACTCATCAGTTTGGTGGCCACTTTGTTGCTGTTTTTTCCCGACAAGGAAAGTATCAATTCATTATCAAGTTCAACATAACAGGCACATCATCTGCTCTGGCTTAGCTGGCCCGTCTCACTCAGACCTGAGTGCAGTCGACTCGACCATGATCCATCTGGCTTTTATCAGCTCACATTATGTGTTTCCAACAACTAACCCAACAAAAATTTAGGGTAAAATAATAATTTTAGTTTGTGTTACAAGTTTAAGTTGACAAAACAACATAACACAAGTTTCCATCCCCCTTTTATTGCCTATTTAAAGAAAGTTACCTCATTTTTATGACACCTAAGCAATCTTCCATTGAATAAGTATCAGTTAAAACTCGATTTTGAAGTTGTATCGACCAAGTCATTGAAACAACTTGATTACTGATATAACCAGTGGTGTGGAGGGACTGAACATTCAGGAACAGCATGCTTCTCAGAAGGTCGACAACAAACACACGCCCGCCATTCTTACGAATAAGAGCTTTTTTATGACGATGTTAGGAAATGGTCGCTAATCGATAGAGTTCGCGTTCTAATTGGTCAGTTTTAATTATTAATGAAAAATTTGTATTGATGAAGTCTTGGTAATAGTCATAAGATGATGGATTTTGCTGTTTGTCCTGGGATTTAATTGCAGATCCCCCTCCAATTTGGCGCCCCTGGTTTGACCCGGGATTGAATCCCGGGACAAGTAGCACGGTTCTAAGATGATAGCCTAGACGCACCTGCCTTGTGGAAAAAAGGAACATTTGAAGATGAGTGATGCAACCTCTAGATAATATTAAATGATAGGTTAAATGAAATGTAAAATTAAATTATTTAATTTTAATTATCATTTAATGTCACATTGCCGCTATCTAAATTTGGGTTACGGTGTGTCCCCAAATTCTTCAATTCGTGTCCTCACAAAGCAGGTCTTTCACGTGTGCTCTTTGTCAATATGAGTTTATCAGTCAACCAGACATTATGCTAATAATCATAACATAATTTTTAATGATATCAACCTGAAAAAAAAAACTGAAAATAATTAGGAAAATGTAATAAAATGAGAGAGAACAAATGGAGAAGAAAAAGGGAACTTTTGTTTGTTCTCTTTCCGTCTGCATTTATTTATTTGCCATTAACGATTTGAAGAGGTGGATGGTTTACATGTTTAAAAGTCGATTTTAAACAAACCGCAATCTCTATAAATTTTCCTTCGAGTTCTTTCAGTTTCAGTCTCTCTCTACCATTTGAGATATGGAGCTGCGGTTAAGCTTAGGAGATTCATCAAAAGATTCAAAATCATTTAAATTCTCGACAAAAAATAGTAATTCAGAGCATCACGATACTACCATAAACAACAAGCAGGATCGCCTGGTATTTTGCATGGCCTTGGGTCTAAACTCAACTGTTGGAAATCGAGAATCCCATGAAAATTATGATCAAGATGATGATCATCAAGAAAAGTTAATGGGAACTCCTGTTCAGCTTGATCTTCTCCCTCTTGATCCTGTTGCTCGTCACACTGGATCTCTTCTTCGAGGTAATTCATACCCTTTCGTTTTGGTGCAACCTTAAATACATGGGATATTTTGTTTACGTTGATAGATCATAGATTGTTTTGAATTATTTTTTATTTTTTTGGGGGGGGTTTGTTTTGCAGTTTCAGGGAGTTCTGAGAATAGTTCTTTGAGGCAACTGGGCTTGCTGAAGCCGGTGGTGGCTTGTGGGGCAGCGGAGGAGGAGCTGTTGTCGGCAAATGATGTCATGGAGGCCGAAAGAACATCTTCTAGAGCCAGTGATGAAGATGAAAATAGTCACAAGAGTGGAAAGAAGCTGAGACTATCTAAAGAACAGTCTGCTTATCTTGAAGAAAACTTTCAAGAACACAGCACTCTCAATCCTGTGAGTGTAAGTTTATGGGAGATGCAAAAATAATTGAATGTTTAAACTGATATTTTACATTATGTCTGATTGTTTCAACTGTTTTTCTCTGTTGTAAGAAAAATTTATGATCTAATTTCTCGTTTTCTTCCCTTTTGGTTCTCTCTGGAAGAAGCAGAAACAAAAGCTTGCACTTGCAAAACAGCTCAATCTTAGGCCTCGACAAGTCGAAGTCTGGTTTCAGAATAGAAGAGCAAGGTATGTATTTTTTTCGAATAAGCATTTATTTGCATAAATATTTTAATCATGGGATCCATCGTAAAATGTTAACTTTGTTAAGAGGGTTTCATTTTTAAACGACCCTTATCATATTTTTGTGTGTGTATTAAGGACCAAGTTGAAGCAAACAGAGGTAGATCGTGAATATTTGAAGAGATTTTGTGACGGTTTAACAGAAGAAAACAGGAGGCTACACAAGGAGTTACAAGAATTGAGAGCTCTTAATTCTTCAAATCCATTCTGCATGCAACTTCCAGCCACCACCCTCACCATGTGCCCCTCCTGTGAACGTGTAGCCACCGCCTCCTCCGCCACTCCCACCACCACTCCAGCAGCCAATCCCCCCATTTCTAAGGAATCCACACCTAAAGTTATCCCAATTCCTTTATTTACACCAAGGTTTTACCCATTCTCCTGCTCTCCAACCCATTCCCATCAGTCTGCACCCTCATAATTTGAAGAAAATTTACAGTTCAAAATATTAGATTTTGTCAATAGTTGTCTAAGTTATATATACACTGAAATAATTTGTTTTATTTCTATAATATGTTTGTTTTTTTTATGAGAAATTGTTTGGTGTACTAGGTTCTCCAGTTATGTCATTTTTTCTTTTTCTTTTCATTTTTATCAGTCTATGCAAAAATATTAATCCTATCAAATTTTTCAGTTTAAATTTTACAGTCATAGAGAATTACAAGAAAATTATGGCTCTGGTCGTTCTTTTGTTATCCCTAAAACCTAGTCTCGACTTTTGAGCTAATGGTTTTGTACTCGTTCCTTGGTGTGGCTTTAAGTGTGTCGGAGTATAGTTATATTAAGAATAAAGCTCGGTAAATTCCGATTCTTTCTTTTTCTCTTTATTTCCTTGTTCTTTTCATCGGGATATATAAACATGTAACGCGCAAAACGATAAATTACAAGAGAAATTTCTTTATTTTGCATTGCTTTTTGCAGAGTAATTAATGTGAAAATGTTTTGTCCCATGGTCAAAGCCATGCTTTAAATAAAGGAGTGTCAATTTGGTGAAATTCTTTTCAAATATTTGATTCAAACTAAATTGTATTGATGAAAAGGAGAGGCGTGGGGAAATGGTTCGTGGAGAAACTGACCAATTTGGGGACCAAAGGTTATATCAAATAAAAATGAAAATATAAACCAACTTATAAGTGTTTGGATTACTTCTCTTAACAATGTTGATCATTTAAGATGGAATCCCAAATCTTAATATAGTATCAAAGCCCATTAAGGATAAAATCTCGCATCGAAAAATAATAAAAACATAGACCAACTTATAAATGTTTGGACTATTTTTTTTAACAATGTTGACCTTTTAAGATAGAATTACAAGTATTAATATACTATATACTCCTAAGTTTCTAACGTTGCTTGGCCTATGACTTCCCACAACACTCGAGATATTGCTAATTTGTGTCGGAACATGTCCGTGTGATGTGTTATGATAATGATCGATTAATTTATTAGTCAAAATCAACAATTAATTTTAATCACAAATTTCATGGGCCTCGCAATTTTTCAACCTCACATTCTATCGACTTTTATCAAAATTATCTAAAAATCTTATTTTAATCTTCACGAACAATCAAACGCGGCAAGATATTTCAATAGTCAACATTTGAAAAATACGAGGAGGTCTTTTGAATAGAAAGTTCAATTACAATTATTGTAAATCAACCAACGAGTTGACGGCCTAAGCATCTTATAAAAAAGCAATATTCATAGACAAAAAAAATAAAGTAAAATGAAGCCCTTTCGTTACAAGGAGACAACCATCATAATTCATAAAAGAAATAAGCAATCATATCAAGGAGATATCTTTGGAAAAACGACTTTAGCGTGCTTACTTTTTATAGTACTCAAAGTTTATGATCAACCATTTAAATTGGATGATTGTAAATCTATTGAGGATTGTTTTCAAACAAATTTAAATGTGTAAAGTGAGTTAGATTATTATGAGTTAGGTCGACTTGACTTTATACGACTTAATTTATCATTGTTATAAATTTAGCATAAATCTCTTTTTTTTTTTTTTTGACGTAGGAATCTGCAATCACTATCCGTCGCGGAGGCCCGATCAATGTGAGTGCGCACTAAGTAAACTCCGATTCATGTGCAGTAACTCGCAAACTACATAGGAGAGGTAAACTGCACTAGGCAAACTCGGTGCGACGGGCTCGATTGAGGAAGTGCTGGCGGGTGATTCGAACTCATGACCTTTGGTCTCCACGTTCACCTGCTCCACCAACTCGGTCACCCTCGAAGGGGCGGCATAAATCTCTTTTGTCTTACTTGCGTTCTTGTATATTCCTCGCCTCCATGCTAGATTTGAGGGGTTTTTGTGGAAGAAATTGAAAGATTTTCATAATATTAACTAATTATAATATTTTTTATTTATAATATTTATTTTAATTTAATTCGATTAGACATTAGTACATATTTTTAATTTTTTATAGTTATTTGTATAGAATATATTCATTTGTTATTCAAAAGTAGAAAAGTTATATGCAAAAATATAAATGTTATACAAATTATTGTGAATATTTTTATCATAATTACTTAGAGAAAATTGTGCTTATCAATTTAGGATAAGATTTAGAATTCATCACCAAGATTATTGATTTGAACCGTGGATACGCAAAACAAGTGAAATCATCATATTTGGATTTGCATGTTGCGGTATGGGTCACTGAATTATTTGATGAAATTTCAATTAGATCACTAAACTTTAATTTTTATATTTCACGGGACAAGAAACTTCAATTTAATTTCAAATTTTACCATTATGTCAGAGCAGTCATATTATAATTGATCTTCCCCACAATATCTACATGAAACCTTAAAAAATGAGCCATGCTACAGGAACTGCGGGGATGACCGCGCCGATAACCGCACACACACACATGGGGGGTCGGAATTATTTTATTTTGGTGGGACCCTCGCCTCGACTGTGAGGGCGCAGTCATCCATGCGGGTCGTCTAGAATAATTCTTCAAAAATATGGTAATATGAGGATCATGGCAATTTCTTTATATTAAAAGGTTAAAATATATATTTTTACTTTTTTTTATTTTTTAACCCTTTTATTTTTGTTGTAGTGTCAATCAAACGACTTCCATCAATTTTGGAGACAGTAGGTGACAAGTGGTGAAATTTGAAGCTAAGAAGTTTATGGCTTTTTTTTTTTTTTTTTGCTGTTTTCAGGCCATTTTCAATTTTCTAAAACACTGAAAGTACGTTTACTTATCTATTTTCATAAACGAATTTTCAAAAATGAGTTTACAATTTACAAAGAAAACGGAAAACACTAAAAATGTCGTTTTGACTGTTTTCAGTTAAAACCAAGTAAAAACTTTATTTTTTTTATTTTTGCTAACAATTTTTCAAAATGACAAAAAGAAAGCGTTTTCAACAATTTCAAAATCGATACTCAAAACACAAAATCAAAAATGAATTCAAAACTCAAAACTAAAAATTAAAAACTGAAATATGAAGAGAACAGCCCCTAATTACTCACGTGAAACTAGATTAAAGTCCAGTGACCCAGACGAATTGAAATTTAATAACGCACCTAACGTTTCTTGAGGAAATTTAATGGAAATTGTAGCGTTGTATATTTAATAAAATATATGTTAAGATTAATATGTAGTCACATTACAATTTATTCAATGTGTGGACTTGCACTGTTTAAAAGGTTGAAATATGTTTCGTATATACCTAAAAAAGTCTTAATGTGCAAAAATATTCATTGGGCTGATGACTGCAATGCAAGTATAAGTCAAAGAATTGCATTTTCTACACGCAATTTGTGATGACTTTGAATTTGGACAAAGTATATTTGCGAGTTTAAACGTTTGGTTGACTATGAAACACATTAATTTGGACCTATTAATTCATTCTTATCCTCAAATCCATGAAAGATTATATGGAATCCTTAATTATTTGTATTAAAAATTCTATGGATTTTAATACACCTCTTTCATTTTTATCTAGCTGTTCATACGTCACTACACCAAAAACACTTGATGATCGAACAAAGAGTAAACGATTAATCAGTGTGTTAAAAAGCATAAAGCGTGATCAAAAGCGTGTTTAATTCTCATTCATTGGGGAAAAATAAGTTTTGAATAGTATTTTCAGGGGGAACGTGTGGTTAAAAAGTTGAAAAAATTTGATACGTGCAGAATATTTTATCGTGTGAATGTATTGTTGAAAATGATCATGTAACAAACCATAAAATAAATTAATAGATATCAAATATGCTCTTAACGCGAAAGCCAAGTTTCAAGTTTTACAAGCCTGAGATAAACCTGTGGGCAAAAAAAAAGTCACTTATTTTTATTATTATTTCAAATACTTATCATTCTAAAAATCATTTACTAATTAAAATAATATCTACCAAACATCTAAAATTACAAAATATTAGTTTACTAAATAATTCCTACAATTAGTTAATTATAATTTTTTCAAGTTTTCAAAATGCAAAAATTAGAATATTTTTTATAGTTTCAATTTTCAACTAAACAAATCCTAATTCACAAATTTATAGGAACTTTATATATATTTTCAAAGTTTCCAAAAAATTGATAAGTCTCGCAATCATAGTTATATAATATAAATAGCAACATAGCTTAAATCTTATCTAAATCTTTATTAGATAATTTTTTTTTTTTTTGTACAAATAAAATCATTTAAAAACTTGAAACTAAATTCAAATAAAATACTTATAAAAAAGGAAAAAAATAAATTAATAAAGTGCACCTTGAAGCATTAAGCGATCAACTATAATTCGTGCTTAATGTCAAACAAAGCGTTTTGTTAGCGTCTTGCGCACTTTTTAGAACACTACAATCAATAATTGTACTATATTTACATCACAAATTACAAATTTATTTATCAAAAGGTGATGTTTTGATTAAGCTAAAATTCGCTAATCGAAAAAATAAAAATAAAAAAAATCCCCCTTTCTTTCTGCCAATAGCTCACAGTACATAAATATAATCATTCAAGTGCTGAAGAGATTTTGTCAGTTTTAATTTAACTTATCACCGCCTCATCAATCTATAAAAAAATATGCCGATGATAATATACAATAATTATTTTCCAACAATTGCAGGGTCGAATTAAAAAACTTACGGAATTCTTGGGGTTGCGTATGATCTATAAGACGATGACAAAGCTTTTAAGTAATTTGCCAGTATAACTGTATCTGACAAATTTAGTCCATATTTTGTCCCATTTTTAAAACTTTTTTTTTGTGTTTGGTGGAGATTAAAATTATATTTTTTGTAGATTTTAATAGAAATTTTTGAAATGTGTGATTGAAAAGTTATGGGACCCATGAAAGATATGGTTAATATTAATTCTTTGACTTTGATTAAAATCTGATTTTAATTCAAAACAAACAGAGCCTAAATTCATTTTCAACTATACATTTCATGAAAACAACTTTTTTCAAGTTTCTGATATCACACTTTATCAACTGTTATCAAAATCTTTAAAAAAATCTGATTTTTATGATGTGACAGAACAACTTATCACACTAGGTACAATGCATGTACTTAGTCAAAAGGTGGCAATCTTAGCATGAAAACCGAAGTAACCAATAATTTGTTTTAGCACAAAATCTAACGAGATTTGAATTGTTGACAACTTTCAGCCCTGTTTGCCCCCCATTAAATTAAATTTTCGAGGGATAAATAATTTTTAGAATAGTGATTGATGGAAAATATATGGTTGAAAAGTTTTTGATTTACGTGTATTATTATTTTATTTGATGAATGTATGGTTGAGATGAAGAGAAAAAAAAATTAATGTAATAAAATGGGGCCAAACAGGGGCTCAGTCATTGTCCATCTTGATAGTTGATACAATGATAATTATTTTAAGAAAAATGCAAGCAGCACTTAAAAATCCAGTGAAAGAAGGAATTCTGGAACTTTGATATTGCATTTAGTCAAATAATTAAACTTTTAGATTATTCTTTTATGTTAGACTGAATTTAACCTAGTAATGTCCATTGAAACATGGGAAATTGTCATGCTTCTTGAGAAATCACCCCAGCTACAGAGTGCCCTGTGCTAAATAACTAAAACACTACTGCCAATAATCCAATGTTAGAAGGAACCATGGCATTATACAACAGAGCACCCCGCCCCCACAAAAAATCGAACCCATGTTTCCCAAAATGTTGATTTCAGGTTTGTCGATCTCATTCCATTGATTGCCTGTGCGAGAAATGGCCACCCTCATCTGTCACGAAGAACCAACATGATGTTAAGACATAATTAACTGTTTCAAACTAAAAGAAGTATCAAGAAAAATACGTAAGCCTGCCATTCAGTGAGTAGAATAGTTAAAAGACAGTTTCAGAGCTGCTCTTCTATGGAAAGAGTGTAAAATTGCATAACCAAAGTATCATTTTTCCCATTCATTTGTCAAACCAGAGACACTTATTATGATCCACCAGGAGAATGGTGTCCAAATTTCTTTTAGAAAATAGAATTTGACTGCCCATAATGTTTCATGCTTCGCTATTCGGCTTAAAAGGCTCTGCTCTTTATTCCCCAACATTATGTCCATCAAACTGCATTATTGGTAAGGGATAAATTCCAAACAATTGAAACTCAATGTCTCCAATTGTTTAGTGATAGGGAGAGTGCTATACATATATAGCAAAAGAACTTCCATCTTAAAAAATTATAATATGGCTATGAACAAAACCAGGCACAAATGTTATGCAAAATCGTACCACTTTCACCATCAGATAGATCATCTAGCCTCTCCAGGGTATCAGCTAGTGCTTGTTCATGCTCCTATTTTACCAAAAGAAACAATCGCAGACCCCAAGAAGTAAGCAGAGTTGATATTCAAGATTAGTTCCTAAACATTACAGTAAAGAACTTAGAATTATATTTATAACTAGGAAAATAATATGTTCAAAATTCTAAAAACAAAATAAAAATTCTATTTTATTTTCGTTTCGTGCTTTTCTAACCTTCAGCACTGTCTTTGCCTTCTCTATATCCACTGGGTCAGGATTACCAGCCTCCAAAACCCTCTCCACCTGCCAAGATCCAATGTTAATTTGCATCCACAGGAAGACCTACATCTGAATAGATGATACGTGTGAAACCGTTGCTGCTTACCTCCCTGATTAGAACGTCGGTGTTAAGCAATTGAAGCATGTCATCGGATCCCTTCTTACCAATGCCATTCTGGGATAATAGAAACTCCTTCCTAGATTGAACTTTGTTGAGTCCCCTGCCTCTTCCGGAACCAGGAGCTCTGTCACGTCCCAGAGGTCGATTCATACCATTGCCTGTTCCACCATATCCTCCGTGCCGGGAAATTCCTGGGTCTTCTCCTACCCATTGGATATCCTCAGGAGAAATCTGCATTGTGTATGAGAAAATGTATTAGATGAAGACACGATCTCTTTCTTCCCATTATTCATTATACTTCGTGACAAGCAACCAATTCTCCAACACCAAGAAGCCAGGTGTAACCTCAAACATAAAGATGACGCTTAAGGTAAATACTTAAGATTAACTTTCTTCTAGTGTGAATTATGTACACATCTTTAACAGAATTTGCGAACATGTTTTCCTTGCATAAATCTTAAGTGGCCCATGCCTTTTCACTCAAAGTATTGTTATAAAACTAAGAACTACAGTAATCTAATTTAGGGTTTACTACTAATTACAATGGTCACCCATATCAGATTAACCTATGCATATTCCGGATCAACTTTTCTGTCATTGCGAACATAATGTCCTCAAATTCAGGACAAAAATAAATTTTACTTCCACCATAACAAATCCATTGTCAAGTTTGACTTGGGCACGCCTATTTAAGTAGGATCTGAAATTTGTGTATATTGTAGTCTTAAGATTGTCCCATGGTTATGACATCAAATGACAGACTATATTTATACATTAAATGTGGAGAAAACTCAAAGGGAATATTTTAACAATGGCAGCCCGACAACAAAAGGTTGGAGAGTTTATATAGGAAAGTACACATAGAAAATGCACATCTCAATCAGTAATGCAGACATCCTATTTAAGATGAATGGAGTAATGAATATTAGCACTCAGCTCAGTTCTAACTTTAATTTCCTTCTCTGTACAGAAATTTCTTTCCCCTTGCTTTCCTTGCAACACTAAATTTTTGCTCACCCAAAAGCAAGTTCACAATGGAGAACTCAAGTTCTAAATTATGTTCTCTCTTCTGGGAACCATTTTAATAATCTTTGAATAATGCTTTTAAGGTTTATTTTACTTTTTATCATGAATATGCATCTAGGAATTCTAGAACGAAAACATTGGTCAAATGGCTACTTAAGCCATTCAATTATGAGTTAGAGGCAGGGCAGAGAAAATGGTGGAGATAAAGGTTATTTTCCCTTGATGACCAATACACATGAAACAAATAGAAAATCTCCTTCAACTTCAAGATAAAATCCTCAGCACTTTCAAATTGCCTCCAGTAATGTCTCAACTAGAGGCTCGAATCGAGGGCATAAAAGATGGCACCATCTAGTCCATCTATCATTTCATGCACAGTACATAATACATGATGAATCCACCAACATAATACATGATGAATCCACCACCACATCACCAACTTGAAATTGTCATGGAGGAAAACCTATCGTGTGACATAGAAGATGTGGATCTATTCATTTGAATGATCTTATAAACTAGTATATCATAACTTAATTGAACATCCAGGCCAAAAAGTAGGTTTCCAAGCTATAAAATCATAATCAAGATAAGCTAGGTTATACCCTGTTGAAGGAGGTTTAATTGCTCCAATCACAAGCAGAGCTTGACCAGCCTAGCTTTTCTTTAAAAAACATTTATAATATAGCTTATCAAGCCAAATTGAAGATGATTTTAAGATATTAAAAGTTCTACAACCTTTACCCGATCATCTTAAGAACTAACCTCAAATGATCCTTTGAAGGGTCAATTTTAAATCAGATTATAAATAGTTCAGTTCAGTTTACTATATGTCCCATCATACCTTCCTTAAAATGGCCGGTAAATTTGTCCAAAGGCAGAACCACATTAAGTAGTTTGGATTCAAATGACCCACTGAGTTGGCTTAATATAAGTGGAGAAAGGGGATGCAGAATATCGATAAATGCACGATAAGGACATTTTCAGTAACTTTTCCTGATGATCTCACTGATATAGGAGGAAAACATAACACGTGGGATTAACAAGAACACTAACCAGGGCTCTACATTAACTGATTATGGAAAATCTGGACCTGATAGCAAAGAAAATCAAGTAATAACACTATAGTAAAATACATATATTCAATCATAGAATTGTTCACATTATTGCTGAATTCAAAATCAGATTTTATTTATGGATAATTATAATCTGATAATAGGACTCAATAGTGATCTTGGCTTGCATGTTTACTTTCAGTTTGCAAGATTTTGAATTTTTCACTCAATATAAACTGTAAAAGTTATTGTAGAGGTTCTTTTACTATTAACTGTTGGGCAACTTATACCTTTAAATGGTCATGTTCATGAGGCATGAGCTATTCTCTAATCCCACAGAAGGAAGTCTTACTCTGCCATATCTTCTTTAGGAAGTTCATCAAATAATATACTTCCAAAAATGCATTTTCGATAATAGTCTTTTTAGAAAAAAATAACATCAGATAGAGACATATGGATTGCACTGTCTTTTGAATACTTGAATGCAAGAAAAAAATGCATGGGTTCCGCTGTCATAACATCCTTTTCCACCACTCCATTCGGTTCCTGCATGATCTACAGCAACTAGGTCCTAGAAACTATCACAAGTCATGTTATGTATGGCTACCCCTCCTTTCTCTACTGGCATGTTCAACCAAGATTGCATACTCTTATGAATGGGAACTTCTTTAGGTCTAAACCAAACATGTACAACCACCTAAGTCATTGGAACATGTTTTGCATAGACCTAAATATCCCATCCATCACTTAGACGACATCAAGATTTGGTTCTCGTATATGTTGTCCACAAAATTGAGAAAATATGAATTTGTCCATTCGCCACAGAACCCAAAATGTTTTGCAAGATGTAAACAGAATATATACATACATCAGCAAGGTTGACCCATTCCCACGTTTCGTTTGCAGTACCTATATCATAAACAAGAACATGCAGACCCTGCAAAAGATTACAAAACAATTTTAGCACTGAACCAGCAGAAAGTAAATATACAAGCAACGAGAAAGCAACTAAACCTCATCCGGCTTGTAGTTAGTGATAACAGCTTCGTAGAAGTTATTGTCATCAGGCCATCTGGTCCTCACTTTCCTTCCAACTAATGTATCATATGAAGCTGCTTCAGCAGGCTCATATGTAAGACCACCAGAAGAAATATGATTGCCAAATTGACCTCTTCCAGTTGGACCCAACACAGGATACTGCCTTTTTATCGAAGATGCACCTGGGGGCATCTGACCCTAAAACGTAAATTATAATTGAAAATTAAAACCAAACAGCAGGGGTAATCTTAACACCAAAAAATTATTGACTGACAGATTTATGTTTTCTGCCCTTGGCTCCCATATTCGGTCCACGCTTTGCAGATGAAGATGGGTGGTTTGCAGAGGCCATTGCCTGTGAGTGGAAAGGAGGAGATGGCCCACCAAAGGATTGTGAAGGTAATGAAGGGGCTATATTCTGCTTTATACGAGAAACTGAGACTGAAGGACTGGGCACTGGATCATGGCTAGTACCAAGCATGCCTGGTTGAAGCCCACCTGACTGTCTCCATTCTCTGATAGCATATCTCAAAATTTTATGGAACAAATGAAAGAAACTAGAACGTGTTGAAAATAGGGCAAAAATTCTAAGGGAACGAAGCATGTTTATAAGGACAAAACCTTATTCTTTGTATTACGTCATCGGCATTAACCCTGCCAAGGAGCTCCCTGTGTTCTTCATTAGACAGTCTTAACTCTTTCCTAAGTTCAGTTATTAAACTTTCTTTCTCCTGAAGAAAATAGATTTCATTGACCAGTCATTTAAATCTGATCAAACAAATATGCCAATATTAGGTTCACATGTTCAATATGACAAAAGGTACCCAAGTAATCGCATCAGCTTGCGCTTTAAAGGCTCTTAGAACTGAACTGTATGCCTCTTGCTCAAGCTGGTGAATTTGGGCTTCCATATCACTTTCACCATATATCCTATGATGTGGAACAGAATTCCTAACAGCAGGTCTTCCATTCCCCGCAATGCGGCCACCTCTTTGAATTCTGTTTTGGTGTGTTGGAGGGAGATCATCGTCTGTTCCTGCAATAATAACAGCATAAAAATCAAACCCATTGATTAAAATCACGGGTGCGCTTTTTCCCACAATACTCCAATATTCCAATTCATGCATCAATAGACATCTCCCCTTGATGGAAAAATGCTGAAACCTTAGAGTTCATAGTATATCTAAATTATAGTAATATTGGTCCAAAATGGTCCTAATCAAACTTGACATTAATATCGTGTTCTGACTTGTCAGGCTCTCAGGCTAGTACGTTCTGTATGCCCAAAAAAAATATTAGGATTGTGCATATAATGGGAAGTTGTACACTTGTACCCGACCACCACTCCCGAAAAAGAAAGAAATAAAAAAGGGCAAATAGTTGTATCATGCTCGCAAGTAACTAGCATTTTTTACAATTTACATATGACGTAATTTTGTTCCAAAATTTTCGACTTACAGTTTTGAATCAAATCAGTCTATACAAGAATAAATTCTCTAAGTATGAATCTGGCATAACATTTCCCACTTCTTAATCATTTGACACCTCCTGGAAAACGTGAACTAGGTAGTAATTTTTTTTCCAACCAACACATAGAAATTAATCCAAATCTTTCATTCATCTTAAGCATGGCTAATCTTACATATATGAAGTAACAGTTAGGTGAAACTTAAGATATGTTATCCTCCAACACATGCAAATAAGAAAGATATTATGCAAACATAATTGAAAGAAGTTGCCTTCAAGTCCTCCGAACTATTTATTTAGGTAAATACGGCTAAAATAAAGGATATTAATGTTTCTTACAAACTACTATTACTACGGATATTTTAGTCACCGGGACTTAGAAAAAAGTCGTAATCCAGATATTCTAGTTACAGCAAAAGATGATTTCCACTATCTCCCATCAAACCATGTCAGTTTTGTGTAGCACTGCTAACTCCACACAAAATATCCAACAAACTCCCACTAAACAGCTATAACTCTAAAAAAATAACCAATCTATGATAAAAACACGGAAGTTGCATAACAATTCAGACATAAAATTCTAGGCCACCGAGCTCTCTCTTGAAAAACAAAAAAGCACTCACAACATCAAAGAGAAGCACTTCCAAATTTCAACCGCACCAAGCTAGAAAGGCAACTCAGAAAATCTCAGTAAGTACATTCTCAAACAACGGTACAAAAATGTTCAAGAACTAACATTCACTACTACCCCTAGTTACCACAGTCCCACAAAGACAACAATGCACGTTATCACATTACGGAATCTAGCCTTATTTATCACAAAAATCACTGCAATGCCTAAATTGTAGAAGTAAAAATCAAATCCTCTTAGTAAAAAAAACCTCACCACTGCTATCGTAAGGCTCGTAGTCCATTGCCAGCTTTCTCAGTCCCACAATTCACAAGTTTAAAGCTAAATTCATTACAGCCCAAAATTCTTCTTCTAAATAGAGAGCGTAAATCACTATTAAAAAGAAAAACAAAAGAACCCAAAAAAAAGGGAAAATCCTATCGCAATACGCCTTAAATATGCATAAATTTGTTTAAGGGTTTGGAGATATTCGATTCAATTTGTGTGATTGCAAGAATTTGAAACTCGGACGTGAAGTCGGTAAATGAATTACGTTCAGAGAGAGGGGCTTGAGTTCCGCCTCCGTTTGTTCGACTTCCTTTTCGACTCCCTTTTCGCGTGATTAAAATCAAATTTTATTTCAAGTTAATGTAAATAATTAATTTTATTCATATATTTCGTCAATTCATAATTTTTCAATTACATATTTAATTAATTTTTATTAAAATTTTGGAGTTAATTATTTCAACGGTCACTGAACTTTACAAAATGTTACGTTTCACTAACTGAACTTTAAATTGCATCCCATCACTCACTGAACTTAGTAAAGTTGCANGAGGGAGAGAGGAGTTAATTGTTTCAACAGTCACTGAATTTTACAAAGTGTCACGTTTCACTAACTGAACTTTAAGTTGCATCCCATCACTCACTGAACTTAGTAAAGTTGCACTCCATCCATCACTGGACTCATTCCGTCAAAATCGGTTGCCTACGTGGATGACGGTTTGCACACGTGGCCGTTAAATTACTCCAACTAGCCATTAATCAGTAATGTCATAAATTCCCAACACTCAAACACGTCTCACCCAATTTGATCTCTGAAATCAGCTTTCTCGACCGTCGCCTCCGTCATAGGTGGAGCTAGAGCTGACATCATGGATTCGACATCATGGACCATGAATTCGAGTTTCTAGTCTTATTGAGGGTTGAGATCCTAAAAAATGGTCTTGGTGCGTCTCCATTGGCCGAAATCCACAATCACATATACACTAGACGTGCATTGGCCGTCTTTAGGTATGAGATCAAATTGGGTGAGATGTGTTTGGGTGTTAGGAATTTATGATATGGCTGATTAATGGCCACTGGAGTAATTTAACGGCCATGTGTGCAAACCATCATCCACGTAGGCAACCGTTTTGACGAAATTAGCCCGGTGATGGATGGAGTGCAATTTTACTAAGTTCAGAGACTGATGGGATGCGACTTAAAGTTCAGTTAGTGAAACGTGACACTTTGTAAAGTTCAGTTAGAAACAATTATCTCAGCCGCTGGATTAATTTAACGGCCACGTGTGCAAACCGTCATCCACGTAGGCAACCCGATTTTGACGAAATTAGCCCGTTGATAGATGGAGCGCAACTTTACTAAGTTCGGTGAGTGATGTGATGCAACTTAAAATTCAGTTAGTGAAACGTAACACTTTGTAAAGTTCAGTGATCGTTGAAACAATTAACTCAAAATTTTGGCGATCTCTTTTTTCCAAAAAAAAATGTCTCTCTTATTTTCAATCGTACTTTTTTCAATAAAATAATATTACATTTACTTTCTTATTTTTTAGTCACGTTTTCCATCAATCTATTATTCCAAAATACATTATATACCTAAAATGGGACTCGAACGGCCCCATCAAATAATGGCTTAGTCATAGTTTGATCCTCATTTTTTCTAAAATACATTTTTCTTTCTCTTTTTTCAACTATGCATTCTTCAATAAAATAATATTACACGTAAATACAAAATTTTTCCTTATTTTTTAAACACACGTTCTCTATCAATTTACTATTTTAAAATATATTCGACACAAAGAATGAGGTTCAAACAAACCTTTATTCAAAAACTACAAAAAAAATAAAAGTTAAAATAAAATTTATAAAAGAATGACAATTAACAGATTAATTTTTTTGAACTTATCTTCTCCTGTAATAAAAAATGGATAATTGCAGCAACTGTATTAAATATTTTATTTAGTAGCAGATTTTGTCCAAATATTTTATTTGTGTTGCTTACGGTACCAAAACTTTAATTTGTGTCACCCACTGTACCAAACATTTCAAATTGTTGCAGCTGAAGTCCAAATTAATGATTCCCGTTAGTTTGACCATTAGTTGATCAAATAATTCACTTTGACAATAATTTTGACTGACTTTAAAAGGTTAAAATGGTAACTTTACATTTTTTTATAATAAAATAACTAAAATCAAATCATTAAAATTAAAAACAAACTTCGTATTCTCCATCCACCCCACACGTACCCATCCCCACCCCAAAACCATCACTTTTTGGGCTCAAAAACCAGCTTAACCACATTAGCCATGACAACAAGCTCCGGCACTCTGAGCCCAAGAAGTAGTAGGCCATGTGGGTTCACGTTTTCCATCTCATAAATTGAGTAATGGCCTTTACGTGTTGGGCAGGCCTGAACTACCAAAAGAAAAAACTCACACAATGAGCTCCGTTGCCATGTCGTACACCGGCGGCGATATTAGAAGGTCTGGAGAACTCGATAAAATGTTTATCCCTACGGATGGCTCTAGATCTAAAAAATCTGGTCTCATTAACTGTGCTCCTTCAAGGACAGGGTCTTTTAACGGTTCTGCATCTCTATTAGGCTAGTTAAAGTCAGGCAATCGGGTGAGTTAAAAACCCGGATTTGGGGTTTGCATATAAAAAAAAAAAAAAGAATTTATTTGTTGGATTTCTAAACTGGTATAGAATTTTGCTTCAGTTTTTATGGAGACTTTTTTCCATTTATAATTAATTCTTGCTTCCCTCTATCTAAAATCTAAATGTTGAAGCAGGTCTTGTACGAGAATTGTTATACTCAAAGGTAATGAATGCAGATGCTCCATTGATGAATTCCAAGCTTAACAATTTTCATTTGAGCAACATGGGGTCTGTAGATATGGGGTCGAGGGCGGTGGAAGAAGAATATGGAAATGAATTTTCAAGTTTAATTATTTGATTTTGGTTATTTTATTATAAAAAAATGTAAAATTACCATTTTAACATTTTATAATTAGTCGAAATTATTGTCAATGTCAATTATTTGGTAAACTAATGATCAAACTAACAGAAACCATCCATTTGGATTTCAGGTACAACATTTTAAAAGGTTTGGTATTGTGATGACACAAATGAAATACTTGGTACCGTATGTGGCACAAATGAAAAATTTGGACAAATTCTGCTACTAAATTAAAAGTTCAGTACCGCTACTGCAATTATCCTTTTAAAAATTGTTTGTTTTAATAGACAATCACAAAGATTAAATAGAAATAAGTAAAGTTTTCAAAAGAAATGTTCTTCAAAAAAAAAAAAAAAATCCAATAAAAGTTAGGATTGAAATTTCATGTGATTCGTCCTTTGAGACTCCAGACAAGTATAACCAAGAAATTATGGATAATTTTGAGGTGAAATTGTGAAAATGACTATCGATGAAGGTCAATACTCAGTTGGAATGAGAACATTATTATTATGGTCGATATCGACTTTTTTAACGAATCTAGTACAAGAAAACTTCTAAATGAACTCTGATAAGACCTCGAAAGACAACCCAATTGGGGGAGTTAGCGAATCCAAAGTACTTAATGCCTCCTGAACTTAATGTTCATCAATTTGCACATCTCATAACTGAAAGAGGTCAAAATTGCTCGTAATCTTTAAGTTCGAAGAGTATGAATCGAGAAATTCAAGAAAACTCCCTTCGAAACACTTTGATAATACTAGTGAATCAAAACCACATTTAATGAATTAATGCACGTAGAGTTTTTTCCTCTTAAAAGATGGTTTAAAATAATAACATCTAGTTTAAATATTATAAACCTTGAAAAAGAATAAACATTTTTAGGTATAATAAGATAAAGTATAATTCTCACGAGTTATTTTGCTATTCACTTGTCTTGATTTGAGTATGACGATGTTATCATGAGGATCGTCCTCTCAATTTATTCTTAACGTTCAAAAATTCACCAACAAACAATAAGATATTGTATTTTTGTATCTTGAATTGAACAATGTCATGAACATGTAGACAATGATACATCACAGTAGCAAGTGACGCCGAATTGTTTCACTAGTAAGTATTTTGCGAATATGTTATAAAATTAAGAGTGATAAATCAATCAAATTCGCACGAGGTGTCTACAAGCTTTGAAGCTTTTCAACACGGGTCGACAAGGCATTACCAACCAAAAATTTTCATGATGGCTAGTAACAAAAAAGTCAAGTCAAAATATATTTTAAAACGAATTCACAAGTACTACGCACCACTCATTTATATTTATTTATAATCGAACAATTTATAAAATATTCCCAAATGAAAGCTTGATTTAGTCACTTCTTGTCATTGGATCATCATCTCGTACATTAGCTTGATCACGAAAGATTGTTATCGGAGAGGAATATATTCGAAAAATACAAATTGCCTTGTATATGAAAATATGCAAGATTCAAGAAGCCTAGCGGCCAATCTTCCAGGCAATTAGAACTAAAAGTATGTCGGAGGGCATATCGAAAAATAAAACATCACTATTAGTTCGCGCATAAACCAAAAAGAGTGACTAACAAAGTTAGTTTCTGTAAATGCTTTGAGCATTCTTTTACAATAAAGTTCAAACTTTATCAAGTACTTCATAAAAACTTTTTTGACTTCGGTGTCAAAATTTCTTGACCAGTATATTCTATTTTGTATGATTGTTATAGCAATTTGATCGAACTAATTATTATATAATTTTTTCAAGGAACATATAAGTTGACGTGGTAAGTGAGGATAATTTAAACCCACCCAATCTCCTAAAATTCTGATGAGATGGGAAGGAGAATGACCATCTCGATCTCGTTCCTACCCCGTTGTCATCTCTAACTTGTCATTCCCTTCATTCCTCCTAGGTCATTCTCCCCGTCCTTGTGTTTATGATTACCTCTCTCGCTAGCACTTGTGATCGGCGAATTTGTCTAGGGAATGGGTGGGGAGGGAGGGTCTTATTTTTTAGTTGAAAAGAGAAAATAGGGGTAAAATATAATTTTCAATAAAAATCTCATGTTTGTTACTTGGAGACTATTTTTGTCAAAAAATATAAGTTGAGGACCAACTTGTAGCATGGTGAATAGTACAATTTTGATAGACAAATTTATGATTGAGGGTAAATGAAAGGTCGTTGAAACTTGGAACTCAGGCCCGATAGCCCGACTGTGTTTTCCATATATTATATACGAACAATGCCACGTTTGGTTCGCGTTAAACATCTCAGGAAAGAAAAATGGCAGAAGAAAAAACACCACCACCGGCGTCGCCCCCGTCGGCTGCAGATGCGCAGCTTTTTGGGCTCCTCTCCAATCTTCTCCAGCAGGTAAACTACTCCAGAAAGATGCAACAATACATATATATTCATTTTTTGTCTTTTAGTTCCTTCTTTTTTCATTATCAAGAAGTTAAGGAATTATGACTGCGTAATGATTTTGCTGACATGGGTATTCTATTTTTATCGTTACGCGTTAGAAATTGTTTATTTTCGATCTTCTGATGTGTGATCTGGTAATTGGGGCAAAATTCTTATTCTTGATATGCCTCTTTTGACTTATGGTACATTGATTCAAATTTTAGATACATTTTAAAGATAATGCTGCTTTTACGCAGTTCTGCTGGACGTAAGAATAAATTCTTGCGACGATTATAGTGATTTCTAAATGTTCTTTCTCACCTTTATGTTCGGGTGATAATTGGCAACCTGGCAGGGTCTGAGCTCATTTTTCACCTTTTAGGTTTTTTTGTTGACCTCTTTATGATGATTTTTTCTACTGACATAATTAGGACGGATTATTTTTTTTTTTTTTTTTTTTTTTTGTATTTCTTTTTTTTTTTTTTTTTTTTTTATTTTTGTTTTGGTATTGTGTTTTTTTTTTTCGACAATTAAAAATAAGGATGATATAGTCTTTTTAACAAAAATATTGACCTTTTAACAGTCAAATAAACCANGTGTTCTGTGTCTAGAAGTAGGAAGAAGATTCGAAGCATATTTCGGCTAGGACTAGTGTCATCTGACCCTTGAATAATGTGAAGACCAGGAAGTTAACTGTGTAATATAAAATCCTTCATGTTAAACTGAATTGACGGTCACTTATTTCAAGAACACAATAAAAGTAGAATGGGCTGCACCAGCTGAAGGAATAAAGTAGAATTATAAACCACAAGAGTGAGTCCAAGTTTTCATAGCTAGTTACTGATTTTGGTACTCCAATCCAAGGATAAAGATATTAGTAAAGACGACATGCTTTGCCAGTTTGTTGAAGTGTCAGAATTTTAGTTATGATAATGAGTGAAGAATCAACGGAGGCAAGATGACACGACACGAGCAACTAGTGCGGTAATTTCTTCATAGTCAATGCCTTACTTTTGATAAACATATTATAACATCTCCAAGAGATTCTCTACTTTTAAATAGCATGTTTAGCAATTTAGAGAATATGAATATCTATAAATTTAGATAGTAAAATTTTGTAAGTCTCCAATGAGCTCTTTATTTTTAACACTTAACTTTACTACTACAAAAAATTATTTATTATTTTTTCCTATCTTTTATTTTCACTGGCTGTCCATCAAATTATTATATTATTTTACTCAATTGAAAATTAAAATACTTTGAATGCATTTGATGTTAGAGAGTGTGTTAATTCGAAGAGTTTCTTGGAGCATAATTTTAAGGGTTTACATAAAGAGGATCTTATGTTTAAAGAGTCTCTTGGAGATGTTTTTAGTAGCTGGTCTATAATTGTAATGGTCTGTCAATCCAGCCAACTGATTTTTAATTTCAAAGTCCATTTGCTTCTGACCGTAAGATTTATCCTGTTGTAATTAATCCAATTTACGAGTTAGTAAGAGCTTAAAGTGTTTTTGCATATTGCTTTCTACCATACACGGTCAATCAATGTGAGCTTTATGAAAGGACTGGGGCTCAGCAAACGTATTAAAGATAGTATAGGATTGAAATCACGACGATACCAGTGTAGAGCTTTTACTCGAGGAAAAATGAAAACCACTTCCTCTTGATGTATACTGTTTATTGGGATAGAATTAGTACAAAAGTTTCCCCTTATGGAATAAATTACAAGTGTACAAGACTTTCTAGGGTATATTTTCATCTCATTCAATGGTGTGTGTGTCACTATTTCTATCTTGGCATTATGTGGAAGTTAGGGGTGAGCAAACTAACCGAAAAACCAACCTGGCCCGACCTGATATGGGAAGATTTTCAGCAGGAATGCAGGGTTGGGTCAGTTACTGTGCAATCAAAAAGGCTGTCTGGTCAGATCGTTTACAATGATTTGGGCCCAAGCCCAAAAGTTGCCATGAAAATCTGTACAAAATAAAAGCACTCATTTTTTTCAAATTTTTTTTTTGATTTGAGCCCAATCCCAAACCGACTTATTGAAACTGAACCAACTAAACTGAATTGGTTTGGGTTGCAATTATCCCAAACCAACTTGGGCGGTTTCGGTTTCAGGTTATGCCAAAAACCAACCCAACCCATCCCATTCCCACCCCTATGTGGATGTCACTCTACACAACCAATATGCAGCCATGTGAATTAGTCACGAATAATCAGCACCTCATTAATCCACCCTCAATATCGTGCGCAATTAATTTGCGCCTCACCAATCCATGGTCGCTCTCACTTTCATGTCTGATCACGATGCAGCCACTATGTGAAAAAGACAATGAACCTACCGTCTATAATTCGATCAATGTTTGCTTGTTCCGGGGCTCAACTCAGACCACTATCCTGATCATGCAGTAGCCACTACATCAAGAATAAAAATCTCACACCATAGACTCCGTTCTCCATTTATGCGTGTTATTAATGTTTGACATCTATTATGTTTTCTCGCCTTTATTTAGGTCACCCATGAGAGAGCATTAAGAGTGAATGTCCCACATTGACCGTAGATAAGCTTCTCACTCAATATAAAGGAATATTGAGGGTGATCCTAATTCTTTAACTACGTGGTGGTTTTTGTGTATGGGGGACAACGAACCAACAATTGTAATCTAATGCTCATCTAGTAGGTGTTTGTGGTGATTTACTTGGTAAATTGAGGCGTAAGCCTTGAAAAATGACGCTCAAAGCGTAAGCTTCAAGACGCTTGGTGAAACCCTTACGCAAGGGTTCCTTCAAGTGTATAGCCTTAGACACTTTTTGAAAAATGATTGTAGCATTCAACGCTGAATTATGGTTATTTCTTCATGTGATCGACATATTAATCAGTTTCTTGTGTTCAATAGTCAGTTGGAGAACCTCCTTTTGACATAATGGCACAAAACACCTCACAAACGCACCCGCAACCATATGTTTTATATTTTGCCATACATGGGAATGTTTCCAAATCAGTAGCCAATACAGTGTAGACTTTTTCCTTGAATCGCTGAAGCTGCCGAGATTAATTATTTTGCCATCTACCGGCAGTATTTTCTTGAAAGCAATAAAACTTCAAAGTATTTCTTTCTTCCTAGAATGCCAGTTCTTTTTTCTCTATAGTCCCATTTCACTGATATATTTCCTTCTCTGTTGATAAACATTTTTAGGTGGAATCATTAACAAATCAAGAAGAAGTGGAGTTGCGTGCCAAGATTGAATCCCTGGGATTGGAGGTTACAAAAGTTCCGTCCAAATCTGCTCGAAATCTCAATGAGGTAATTCAAGGCTCAATTCAGCCATTTTTGGATTCTTTTTAAGGCATGTTTGGTGTGTAATACTGTCAAGAAAAAACATATAATAGGCAAGATTTAACTTCTTTTCCTTTATTAATACTTTCGAGTGCTGTTGTATCCAACCTACCAAAACATCCCTTTAAGGCAATGCATGTTTGGCACGTAGTATTACATATAATAGTCAAGATTTTTTTCTTCTTTACTACTTTTTACATTGTTCCACTCCGACTAATCCTCTATTTACATTCTGTCTTTGCACATGCAAGTTTATCTTTTGCAAAGTACAGTTTCTTGCGTAACTATTTTTTTGTTGGAATATCTTCTTGTCTAATTAGATGGAGATAGCAAATGAGTTGGATAAATTATCAGCAAAGTTGGACAACGTAGATGAGATGATATCCTCAGCAATGGCTGCAGACCCGCAGGTCCAGTCACTCTTAAGTAGTACAGCTGAAGTATGGATGCCAGTTATTACTGCCAATTCTGATGAAAGGCGTAATTTTACAGCAACGGTTGGAGAAGATAACCATGAAGCCAAGGGGAAAGATTCTGAGTAGTTCCTCTATTTACAAATATTGTGATTACTTTGTGAACGTCAATAAATGCATTTCTTTTAGTATAGCCCACCAAACGGCAATAGTATTGATAATTTCAGGGAGATGAGGAATGGATTTTAGTGGCTCAAGCACTCATCTGCTTTTCAAATCGAAGTAAACATTCCAGCTACACTATAACAAGAATTCTTACATGAATTGCCAAAATGCATCTGTCTCCATCATTGATCACAATCTGTTGGCTTAGAGTACAAATACAATGCAAAATCAAACTCACTTTAAAGGAGGTGGATAGACAATTAAGCCGATAATCCACATTACTATGGATCCAATGATCCAACATAAGAATGCAAGGACTAAAAAACCAGCCACAATGGTAAGGAGGGGAGGACCTTGGGCAGCATCTGCGCTTTTAGTTTCATTTGATCCTTCTGAAGGATTAGCGTTTGAGGCAAATACATGATATAGCCTTGGTCTCACTTGAAGTCTGCATTCATTCCTAAACCTGAACAGAAGAAATAATAAGTCGTTTGCTTGCCAAAGATGCTGACAATAGTAAAGGGATGGACAATGCAGTTGTTTAGTTTATGCTTATGTAGAAGATTTTTACAATCACAAACATGAACTGGAGTTCAAAATAAGCTAGAACTCTATGCAATGCATATTTTTTGTTGTCTTCCTCAAAATCACCTACCACGAGGTGTATCTTGTATCTTTGACAAATCAATTGTCAAAATCAGTGATGATCTTTACGTCTTGTGCTTACATATACATTAAATGCATGTTTAGTACTATATAGTGAACAATTGACATAAGTGAACAGTATAATGATCAAGATTTTAACTTTTTTACTATTATATCCAGTGTTATCCAATCCTTCCCATCAAACATGCACCAAGTGTGAATAATACTCAAAAGTGATTCTATTTGAAAAGGCTTGTTCATTGCGGCGACTATTTTCCACGAGAAGAGACATGGCAATTAACAATTAAGTGTGACCACATATCAATTTTTCAAGGCTTTTGACATTGGATAAAAATGGATGATACAGAACATTTTCCACAACAATTTATGGGTGCGTTGATGTCCTTCAGTATAATTGAAGATTTATTGGTCAAAACACAGGGGAATAACAAAAAACAAACCTTTTATAAATTATACTATCATGTCAATGATCAGTATACAAATTACTAAACTAGAGATTACATAAAAGTTACATACGAAAATTGCCGGATGAAACTATTGCTTCAGGAAAATTGCCCTTGCACTCAAACGAGAAGAGACCCTTCTTCCACAACTTTCCTCACCTTTGAACTCTGAACATATACAGGGAAGAAGAGAGATGGCAGAAGGAAGTGTGCTAGTCACACAAGAATTCTAGCATATTTTAGGAGTCAATATTCATTATATTTTGGTGTGCATCATTAATGTGTGTGTATCAACACACACACACACACAATCTTTTTAAAGAAGGAAAACTTTTTTTATTTGTTCGTATTCCAAACAAAATAATTCCCCATTTGGTCTTATGTTAGTTTCTCCAAGCTAGCAATATCATACAGCTCTAACATGATTAGGAAAACCACGTCAAGCTCTGTGAAGGTCAAAATGTAATTCACATCTAGCTTAGTTAAGACATTATGCCTATATTTCAGACATTCTTAAAAGTCCGAATTTCTAAAACAGAGTTTAGATGCACAACTCCCTTCTGGAAATCTAAACTTAGTTCCACAAATCTAGAACTCATTTGACATCCAAACTTCATTCCTGTGTCACTTAATTCAACTGAAAAACCCTTTTGGATACATCCACAGTTCCTTTCGTACATCCAAACTTGATTTCAGGGTACTTAATTCAAATTCAAAAACCTGGGATACAGAAAACATGCTAAACTTTATTAGCTTGATTCGTCTCTGCATCTCATACTCTCTCACCTTCTCTTTTGTGTGTGTTTAACTAGGTCATGACTATTTGGCCACAGTAAGTAATAACTCTTTCCGCTCACGAGAAACTCTTTCTAACGACCTTTTCTTGAGAATAATTCCATGATATTTCTTTAGAGTCCTTCAGTTTAAGAATGACACCAAGCATGTATATAAGCAAATTCTGCACCTTCAATCCCCATTCCATACTCAAATGAGCAATTGAGTAATGAGTCTCCATTTCATCTCTATTGGCATTTGACTCCCAATTATCAATATTTATTTTGGCTTTTGGTCTCCAGTCTTAAATTTTGTAGCATTTGGGTTCCCACTGCAAATTCGGTACAATTTGACTGACAAAGTGTCACTTGCCTAGCACATGACACACTATTTTGAGCGTATAATGGCTAATTCAAAAAAGAAAGAAAAAAAAATCATCTCCTCGCCAATCCCCTAGTCTCCATTGCTTTTTCAGTCACCGTTGCCCCCTCTAGTCCCAATCCACATCGCCCCCATCCCCACCCCACCCCATCACCTCCTCTCCCCTTTGCTCCTGCAGACCCCACCTCTGGATTGATGCATAGAACAAGAAAAGGGTTCGATCCCAACAAATACCATGGGGAACATAGTAAAAGTTTAATTGTTTTCACAACATCCCGGTACCAATTTTATCACCAATCACCAGATGTTTCCTTTGTGTACCATGGTTTCTCTAATCTCTATATTGTTCCTTAAAACTCTTCCACTCGAACGAAACAATGACTAATTAATATAAATACCAGCCCACACATACTACAATTGTGGCCAATCCAACGTAAACCCTTTTCCCCTGTTGTTAGCCTGTTTACAACTTTAACTTTCTTTTGTTTTCATTTTTTTTATAGGACGGGCTGCCAGGAAACAGGATATCATTATATTACATTAGGTAGTATAATGAACTCTAAATTCAGCAATTCCCTGCCACATTCTGATTAATTAGTAACAACAAGAATACCTAGCTAAGATGAACAAGAATCAAGCACTGCAGGGCTTCAGGTCAAACAAATAACTTAATTATGAATCAAGAACCCATCAACCCAAAAGAGTGCTAAGTCATTCCAAGAAACATTTACCCAAGCTCAACTACCCAATACCCATCATCCACAATCACAAACCCGATTCTTATTCAGACAGCCCAAAAAAGGGACACGAGATTTAATTAATTGGCTGTTAGTTCCAGATAAACAGAAAATAACCTCCAAGGAAAACATTGAAAAATGGTAAGAAAATACCTGAAATAGAGATGGGTCGCCGGGGAATTTTTCCCAAAAGTTAAGGAAAGTGGAGACTTGTGACGTGCGGAGCAGGGACGATGAAGCAGTGGAACTAACTGAGCAGAAAAATGCAGAGAGGCCATTTTTTCTTTTTTTCCCGGTGGAAATTGTAGTGTAGGGTACCAGTGGCAATTATAGGAGGGTTCGATATATGCCAACTACATCCACTTGTACACTCAGGGTTAACACTACCCTCACATTCGGGTGGGATTCACAATTTTATATATGTCAACTACATCCCCGTGTACAATCCCTTACAATATGGGCTCGCGAATATTTTTTAGAATTAACCTGATTACACACTTTTGTGTACACTCAAGTTGACAGTACCCTCACACTAGGGTGAGATGCGCGATTTTTAAAATCTCGAGCCCCACCCTCATGTGAGGGGACTATCATGCCAAGAGATGGTAAATTTTCCCGCCTCGCCCCGTCCCGAACTAGTTGACTGGGCGGGGTGGGATTCGTCGCCCCCTCTCGGGTCGCGGGGCTGGGATGCCTCGCCCTGTGAAGAATAAAATAAAATAAAAAACTTTTTTTGAACATTTTTTGTTTCAAGAGCTTGCTTTAGATATTAATGTAGAAAGTTTGATCATTATTTGCTTTGGATTTTAAAATTTATTTTTTAACTGAAAATTAAAAATTAAAAAAAGGGGGGCAGGAAACGAGGCAAGTCTCCGCCCTGCGCGGGGCGGGACACCTCGTTGCCATCTCTAATCATGCCAAAGTGTACATCTAACATTTCTCTTTTTTTTTTTTATTCAACGTGAACCCCATGGTGAAAGGTATAAATTAGGGTTGACACTCCCGTCTACAAATAGCAAAATTCATTATGGAAAGATGGTTTTTGCTATTTGTATATTGGAGTGTCAGGGTTGACACCCGATGTATAGCTTCCTCACGGTAGGGAATCCACGAATTTTTTATTGGAAGTGAGCCCCCTCTTTTGTGAGGAGATTAATCCTGATGTACAAATAGCAAAACCTATAAAAAGGCTAATGTTTCTATTTAGAGTCTTGACCCAGTGAATTGTTTGTTGGTGCCACCTCCCCTCTCATAACTTGGTAAAAATTGTGCACCTTTTTTTCTGGGTTAAACCCATCCTTTGTCTGTCTAGAGTAGGGTGAATGACTTAATGTTCAATGTGAAAATTATATTGAATACATCTCTCTTTAAAATGTTAAAATACATTTTTTTTTCTAAATCGTTAGCCCATGTTCGAACCACATTAAAATTTGCATTTTCATTTTCAACCACATATTCTTCAATAAAATAATATTTTTCATCACATCAATAACTTTTTCTTCTTTTTTCAACCACACATTTTCCGTCAATCTACTATTCCAAAATACATTCTTCCAAAATAATTTTTGCCCTGTATCTAAATAATTTCTTTTAAAAAGTTCCTATATTTTCAATTGTATAAACCTTTTAATAAATATTTATGTCATTTTGAACAAAAAACGTGCATAAATTAATGTCTAATTCTCTTCAATTTCAAACCTAACACCATGGACCTCAACCCCACCACACCCACACCCACACCCACTCCGACCTCGATCCCACCACCATCAATCTGGGTTGCTTACGAGTAGGAACAAGCTGATTGCACCATCATGCACAAAGGTCTGGGAATGAAAGATCGGGGTTCATGAAGATCTGCGCTAGGGGCGGATACAAGGGGGGCTTGGCTGGGCTATAGCCCCCCCTCAAGGCACAAAAAAAAAATTTTATAAGGTTTTTTTTTTTCTTAAAACAGTTTTTCATGTATAAAATTTTTTTTTCGCGTATTAACCCAGTTTGAAATTTTGTAGCCCTGTCTTCGATCCAATCATGGATCCGCCCCTGATCTGCGCGACTTTTGTCACAATGTTGGACATCCTCCCATCGCTCATATTAAATCTAACATAGGCTATTTGAAATTTCAAGTTTAGTATTATGGTTGTGGTTCGTAGATCACACACTCTCTCTATCCAAACCTGTCTATGAACATAATTTCCCTGAAGAATTTTATGGATAAAGAATGAAGAAGATGTATAATAGGGACTGGTATTAAAAGTCAAATGACTACAAGAATAGTAGAAAGTTTTCCTTCAATATGGGTTTGGTTGATTTTTTTATGTTAATTTTGTTATGCTCATGTTTAGTTTAGCTAAAAGAATAGTAGAAAGTATTCCTTCAATATGGGTTTGGTTATGTTAATTTTGTTATGCTCATGTTTGGTTTAGCTAAAAATTTAAATTTTAGCAGATTTTTATAAAAGTTGATACAGCCTCTATTGTAAAATTAATAAAAGTTGCTAGTCCAATAAAATGTGAGGTTGAAAGTGAATTTGAAGGAAAATGAGTTTTAGAAAATTAGGGCTATTTTCGTATTTTCATTTGATTTTTTGTTCTTTTTAGCGTGAAGGAGAGGAAGGAGATTTGTTGTTGACTATGGTGGCCATGGTGGGAAAATTGTGGAGTGGAGTGGTGTCAAGCGAGTAACATAAATAGCTACTCATGCTTTGGATGGTGGTGACTATACGGTTGGTATGAAGTGGTTTCAATCAAGCAAGCAACATAATGTGTTGTTGCTCGTATTATGTGGTGATGGTGGGTATAAATGGTTTCATATAGGTAAAATAAAGTGTTATTTGTGTTTTATGGTGACGGGGCCATATTAATATAATAATATATTTATTTAGATTTTAGATGATCATCATTCTATATTGCAGTGGGGCTGTTATCACATTATTCAATATCTAAAAATCAACAATTATCTAAACTCTAGGTAAATATCATCTCACATTAATATTGTTCAATTTTAGTTTGACAAACTCAAAGGCTCGTTAACTCTTCTTGATCGAGCAAAGTATATCTCCAACTATCACAATACCCCATTTTCCAAGTACACGTGTGAGGGTAAAATATTGTGTTGCTCGCAGGGGCGGACCCAGACCATTTTTACTGTGGGGTCAAAAATTAAGGACGCTTGAGTGAAACTCAGGTGTTCCAAGGACAGTAAGTAAACTTCAGTCATTGGTGCTCGATCGTGCCTTACCTTACATCCCAAGTTTCTATTATGTCAAACACTGGCATGACATATACATGAGTTTTTCAAAAATTAAAGATGAATAAATACGATAAAATATAACTCGTTGAATAAATCGGAGCAGGAAATTTTTGAAAAAAAAGATTTACCTGATAATTTCCAATACATGAACAACAACAAACATGTTAGTCATTGCAACAAGTCGGTTGGATTTTTCAAGTGAAAGAAGAATATTGTTATCAACGATAATCCCAAATGTGTGATATCCAATGAATGCTACAAGAAAATAACAAATTGCAACAACATATGCAAATATTTAGGGGTGAAACCAGGAATATTGTTCAGTGTAGATGAAATTCAATCGAGGTCGGAGTTTTTGGGGGCTTGAAACGTCCATTAAATTTGGGCCATTAAATTAAAGTATGCAATATGTATTCATATTTTTCTTAACTAACTAATTTACGAGCTTAAAACTCAATAAACCAATAAACAAAATGAAACATTCAATCTCAAATAAAGTTCGATCATAAATTTAATGATGGTAAAAATATAAAATAATATTAGGACAAATGACATAGTTTATAAGACCAAATTGTTGAACAAAATTTGAATTTATATAATTTTTACACACCACTTAATTGATTAAATAATATAATATTCTCACTTAATGGACTTTTTCTCTCCATGTACTATTTCTCTCCCAAGTTATGAGTACAAAAAAAATACCTCAAATTATTTGTGGGGTCATTTGACCCCACATGAACCCTTGTGAGTCCGCCCCTGGTTGCTCGCATAGCTTACCTAAAAAATAGCATATGTCTACACAAGAAAATAAAATGATATAAAATACTCAATATTTGATTCTCCATTTAACAAATTATTTCTACCCTTTCTCTTGAAACGCCATTTAAAAAAATTCGACCTCATTTCTTGATCAAAAGTACAATACAAGGAAATGAAATGGTATATAAACAAGTCAATAATATTTCATTATCCATTTAATATGTTTTTTTTTTCCACCCCATTCTTAAAGCACCAATAAAACTTGTTAAGTTGCGAACTTTAAGACTTGTTTTAATAACATTTTTTTAGGCAATTAATGATTCAAAAATTGATTTTCTCTTATGTTGTAAATAATTAATCAACTCATTGACATCTTTTAAGTACATGATATGTTCATAATATTAATTCTTTCAATTTTTTAATACATGGAGATAAACTCATAAAATGCATAGAAGATATCTTACAAGGGAAGTTAAGATTTCAAGAATTTTTTAAGTTAAATTGGTATAGAGATCAAATTAGGCACGACAAGTCGCTTTGGCCGAGTGGTTAAGGCGTGTGCCTGCTAAGTACATGGGGTTTCCCCGCGAGAGTTCGAATCTCTCAGGCGACGATTATCTTTTTCCAGTTTTTTCCCTTCTCTTTTTATTAATCTTTGACTTTACAAAAGTTTATTCCAGTTACTTTTGATATGATGAAGTAAGGATTATTAAAATTTCTTAGATTAGTAGTTAGAAATATTATTTCTAGTGCAAATCCCAAGAAATATTATTTCTAGTGCAAATCCCATTTAATTCATTCTTTCTTCTTCTTGTTCGTTATTTTTGCTTATAATTCACTTAATTTCTGTTCTCAGAAAAATGTACCGGTAAAACGAAAAAAAAAAAGAAGAAAAACTAAAAAATATCATTTATAAATGTATAAGACTAATTGCATACGAAAAGTGACACGAGAAAATATTCTAGAGTCATAGCAACTATCTCATTTCGACGGTGTCCAATGATGATCGTTATCACCATTGAGGAATTTTAAGGTGCATTTGATTTACTGTTTTCAATTTTCAATTTTGTAAAACACTAAAAACGTGTTTGTTCTGATATTTTTAAAAATGTGTTTTCGAAAACAAGATTAAATTTATAATATAAAATTTAAAACTTATTTTTTTGATATTTTGAGTGTTCACAAAAAAATTTGAAAACGTATTTTAGTAAAAAAATGAGTTTTTGAATAGTGATTGATGGAAGAATGTGTGGTTAAAAAGTAAGGA